GCACGTGCGTGTCGAGTGGGTGGGTGGGTGGGTGGGATGGGGAGACAGGCCGTGTGCATGCTTCTGTGCATGTGCATGCTGCTAGTTTAGTGCGTGACCTGGACAGGATCCCCTCGGGGTTACAGACACGAGTCTCGTTAAACACAATAACCAACCAACCAAAAGTCACTGTGTCACAGGCTACACACGTCTGCACAACCGCCCAGCCATTTACCCACCCATCCCTTCCCCCCATCCATCGAGTCAGTCACCGGCAGCTGTGGGTGAGAGTGGTTGCTCCGACAGATCAGTCACCTGCAGCCGCCTCTCATTGATGATGAGAGACGACTACGGGTGAGCTGTCAGTGAGTGAACACCCCACAGCCACGACAGAGCCAGCGCATTAGCTATCCACACACCGCTATCGAGAGACAGACATACATGGCTACCATTCCACCCTTCAATGGGACACCTCGCCGTCAGGGAGCACCTCATCTGGTGCCATGCACACACACCACACACACGCGCTTCTTCTGCCTCGTCAATCCTCGTTATCCCTTCCTCAATCACTCACCGACGACGATTCGGTAGTGCACGGTGAGCTGGCCGCCTGGGGGGAGCAGTGGGCGGCTCATCGGCTGCCGCTGCTGTTGCTGTGGGAGGGAGGGCAGCGCGTCTGGCCCGAAGAGCAGGTGTCCGCCCCCCTGCGGGCCGCACGCCATGTACTGCTTCCGCACACGCGATAGGGTAAGCTGCACATACAGACAGGGAGAGAAGGAAGCAAGCAAGGAAGAACACCCGTCATCAGACTATCATCAGCCATGCACCCATCGAGCATAGACACGCATGGATCTGATAAACACTGATCACACCAACCTTCAACACATCCCCCTCGGCTGTTCTCGCCGCCTGCACACAAACACACACACACACACACACACAGAGAGAGAGAGAGAGGGGGGGGGGGAGGAAGAGAGTGCGCACGAGGTTCCCGTTTCGGTTTGCCGTTCTTCCTTCTGTCTCCTCTCCTCCCCCTCGCTCCTCCCTGGCTGACCGTGCTGGTCACTATCATGGTCTCGGGGTTGACGTCCACCTCAGCAAACGCCTGGAAACACTCGTGGAACGAATCTAGGGAGCCAGACGCACCGAGGCCTGGCGCAGGGGTGTCTGCCGTAGTGACCACACACAACACAACACAACGAGGCGCGACAGACAGACAGACAGACAGACAGAAATGGGACTCTGTGTGCTGGCCGTGTTGTGAAGGCTGGGGGGGGGTACCTGGCAGCCTGATGGGGACTTTGATGGAAAAACGGAGGACGCTGTGCAGATCGGGGCGGTAACGGAGAGCTAACTGTGCATCTGCTTTATATCACAACGGCCGCAATGGTTGGTTGTCGGCACACGTGTGTGTGTGTGGCCTCTCGCTCACCGTGCCACACGGGTTTGTTGGTCATCGTGCCCCTATTGGTGTTCCGCATCCCCACACCAAGCTGCTCCTGGCAGGGGGCGCTGATCGTCAGCACTTACCACACACACACACACACACACAAAGAAAGAGGAGCTCACTGGCATCTCATCAGTGTCCCCCCCTCCCTCCCTGTCTGTCCTGGTGGTTTGCTTATGCTTACGCCACTGGTTGAATTTGAAGTCTTGCGCGGGTTCGAATGCGATGTGGGTGAAGACGAAGCAGGGGCCCTTGTACCCACACACGCGACGGCGGATGGCCTCCAGGCTGGTCGTCTCGGGCGCAAACCCCCGCCTCTTCATGTCCGCCAACCTGCATAGATCACAACACAGCACAGCACAGCAACCATTCACCACACAAGCTGCGGCGCGTGCTGTGATGCTCACTCACTGCATGACATGACCCACCCACCCTTTGTGATCTATCGGGAGGTCCATCATCTGTGTCTGCTCCTCCTGCTCTAGCTTCTGCTCGTCCCTGGGCGCCTTGGCCATCCTCGTGAAGGTGATGGCCTCGCTCCCAGTGGTTCCGCCCTCCGACGGGCACCCCCAGCCGAACTCGTACTCCCCGCCCTCACCAGTACCATCGTCCCCGCCACCAAATATCCCCGAACTCATCGGCTGCAAGGCCTGATGCCTCGTTTTGCCGCCATAAGATTCGCTAACATGGAACGGCCCTGCATGTTCCATTGTGGCCGGGGCTATGTGGATCTTTCTCACCCGGCCGTGTGTCCGCCGCCGCCGCGGCCCCCCTCACAATGTGCGAGCTTAAAAGCGAGGAGAGAAGAAGGGGAAGACCTCCCTGCCCTCTCGTGCTACACGCCACAGCGCTTTCTGCAAGCTGCCGGATTCGTCTTGTCTTCATTGCGGCAGCTGCGGTCGTGGCAAGGCGAGACAGCCGTCAGAAGCAGCCAAAGCCCATCTCTGCCCGTTTCCCGCATATTTGTCACCGAATCGGCACTTCGCTATTGTCGCCGTCGCTCGATGCCCCTGGCGGCCTAAGCTCGGCTTCCACGTGGCGTGGAGGTGTGTGGGGGGAGTGGGAGGCGGGAGGGCCACATGGCGGAGCAGGAGTGGCCGAAATGGCTGCACTGGGTGCCCTTCAAGCCCGCCATCTCGCGGATTGTCAAGTATGGCACCAACCCCTTCGTCCTCACTGCGGCTGCCCCGCTGGCGCTGCGGCAGACCGGACTCTACTTCGCTCTCTACGACATGGCCGGCTGTAAGCTTAGCAACACGCACACACACACACGCTCTGGAAGGATGTCAGCAAGCAATGTGGGACAGACGAGCCACGCACGAGCCATGGGTGACTCTCTCTCTCTCGGTTTGTGCTGATGCCATGTGTGTGTGGATTGTGTGTCGTGTGTGTCAGGGTTTGAGTGGTCTGCGTGGGGTCACCTCACCTGGATTCTGTTCGTCTGCCTCGTCTACTGGACCATCACATGGGTCAACACCGTCATGGAACGGGTAGGGAGCGACACTCACACGCACACCCAGCCCAACACGACGCGACTCACGGCACACAACACACCACACCGCTCACTCACTCACTCACTCTCTCTTTCGCTCAGCGTCGGGCCACCAAGCGCTACGAAGAGATGAGTCTCATCCTGGGCGGCGAGCAGGGCCGCAAGGCCAGCAAGAAGAAGCAACAGCTCCACACCAGGAGGGACAAGACGGCCGCCAAACCTGCGCCAGCAGCAGTGCCATCGCCATCAGCAGCGGCAGGAGCAGCAGAGCAGGAGGAGGCTCAGGTGGCTGTCGACGCGGCCAAGAAGAAGCGGAAGGGCAGCAAGAAGGGGGGCAAGGGCCAGGCTGCGGCCGACGACTATGTGAGTGACCGACCGACCAGCCTACCTGCGTCACAGCACACGAGGGAGAGAGGGACCACACAGCACAGCTCCTTTCTATCATTCTACGACGGACTGGTTTTCCGTTGTGTTGTGTGTGTGTTGCATGTCCAGGAGGCGGGCGAAGGGGGTGCCGACGACGCCATTGAGGACTTCGCCGCCCATCCGACACTCAGCAAGCCCATTCAGGTACCGACATAAGGCGCTCACACAGACACACGGGCAGGCGAGCGACAATCCGACCCACCGTGTCCTTTGTCACTTGTCGTTGTGCAGGATGCTCGTCGCAAAGAGGAGGAGCGCCAGGAGAAGCTCGAACGCAAGCAGCAGCAGCAGCAGCAACAACTACTGCAGCAGCAGAAGGCCCCGCAAGACCACCAACAGCAGCATCAGCAACAGCAGCAACAGCCCCAACCCACCACCAACTCACCTGACGCGCCCACCAAACCGCCATCAGCAGTGCCAGCACCTGCATCGTCTGACCCTCAGCCCTTCTCCAAATCGCACGACGCCGCCCAGACGCCGTCTCATCCGACAATCCTGCCCATCCCTTCGCCTGCGTCGACCCCCCACACGCGGCAGAAGCCCCCCTCGCCCAGACCCAACACGCCCAACACCACCCGCAGCACCAGCCGCGGGATGGAGAGGCGCAACACGGTGTCTTACTACCGGCCTGTGGGGGGTGGTGCCGGTGCCGGTGCCGGTGGTGGTGCCGCTGACAGGGGTCGCGGCAGCGGCGGGAGGGGTGGGCACGCTGCTCGTGGCAGCGGGAGGAGCGACGGGGGCATTAGTCGGCAGGCCAGTGAGGGGTCTGGCAGGGACGACGACGCACAGGGGGGACAGAAAGAGGTCAGTGAGTGAGGGAGGACACAATCACACGAATCGGTGTGTGACACATCCGTGTGTGTGTGTGTGTTCAGGCTGACGGTCCCCACCATCCGTCGGTGTCTCATCCCCCGTCGGTGCCGGCCTCCATGTCTGACAGCCACTCGCACCCCAGCACACCCACGCACCCGACCCGCCCTCGCCCACCGCCTTCCAACACCCACCGAGGAGGCAGCGGCCCCCCACGGCCCTTCCGCGGCGGCGCTGGATCGGGCAGAGGAGGCCAACACACGCATAGCGCGGCAAGCGGCGTGGAGCACGGGCATCAGCACCGAGAGGACCCACACAGGCGGCCGTCTGCCAAGGAGTCGGTCCGTGGCGGCCGTGGCCGTGGGGGGAAGAGCAGGCTGCCGCCGGTGGTGCCGAGCAGGCCCATGTGGCAGCCGTCCGCTCCATCGGCGCATCGCAGCGGTCAGGGGGGCGAGGTCGGGGAGGCGGGGGCGAACGAGGCAGGGGCGGCGCGGCCCGACCTGGGACGGCAGGAGAGCATCTCGGCCAAGATGGAGAAAGAGTGGAACGAATACACTTCCGCACACCCCAATGAGTCGCAGCACCAACACCAGGGGCAGCTACCGAGCACCACTGAGGTGCCGCCCCTCCCGCCCCTCTCGTCGGCGCCCCGTCCACCGCCGTCCACCGTGACTCAGGAGCGGCGGGCCGGCATTCCATCCTCCCCGCCCCCAGATGTACTCGAGGACGACAAGCCAGATACGCGAGAGCGAGATCGTGACGCCAAGGCTGCGGCATCTGCATCATCGGCCGATCGGCAGGTTCAGTCTTCGCCGTCATCCGTCGCAGCAGCGGCCATCTATGAGAGCGCCATCTCGACCAGACCGAGCAAGCCCCCTCCCTCTGAGGAGCATCTGTACGCCGCCCAGCGAAAGGTCGATGCCGAGAAAGGAGTGTCGTGCCACCACTACCAGCAGCATCAGCATTCACAGCAGGAGCAGCCGCAGAAGCAGCAGCAGCGACAGGATGAGCAGGGCCCCCAGCCGTCGTCGCCGACCGATGGCGTGATGGCTGACGATCCGGCCATCGTCGCTGCGTCGTCTTCGTCGTCGCCAGGATACCCCCATGTCCCAATGGTTGCTTGCAACCATATTCCACCGTCTGTGCCGTCGCCCCCCTTCATGGAGGCGGGTGGGCCCATGAGCGCCTCCCCGCCACTCATGCCTGGGTCTCCTCCCTCACACCACCAGCAGCCCTTCGCCCCCTACCCGAATGTGCCCGTCGACACCGACCTGCCGTATGAGTACAACAGTCACCCGGTGGTGCCGACAGCAGTGGTCGCCCCGGCCGCTTTCGTCCACCCCCACGCCCCGGCCTTTGTGCACGCCACGCCGTTCATCCAGCCGATGCCGTGCGTCGACCCCTCTCTCGTCCACCCCGCCGATCGCCTCTATGCTGCCTACCAGCAGGCCCCCATGCGCCCAATGCACACGCCGATCCGTCCTCGGGGGCCGGGCTACCACCCCCCACCGCTGGACACCTCTCTGCCGCCCCAGAGCCCGTCCACCGACCGGGGATCGTCGGCCTTCACGCCCACACCGACCTCGCCCCACCCAGAGGGGCAGACGTCCAAGGGATCCAAGGGGCGCAAGATTTTGAACCGGCCCAAGGAGAGCAAGAGAGCGGGTGGGGGCAATGCAAGCGATGGGGCGAGGTCGCCCAAGAGCCCCGTGCCGCCGTCAGAGAGCACGTCCAACGAGCAGCAGCCGCAGGCGTCGGCTACTGCTGCTGCTGCGGCGGCCGTGGCGAATGAGGAAAAGGGCGGCGCTGAGAATGGCGTGCATGTGCATCAGCCTGCGGATGAAGGGGCTAAGGGAGCTGACGAGCCACCACGGGTCGACGACAACAAGGGCGCCAAGACGGTCGCTACCCCAGCAGCTGCCCCAGCAGCGGAGAGCAAGCAAGCCGGGAAGACTGAAGATGTGCAGAAGAAGAAGGACGCAGCAGGAGCTGCACCGGTGGCCGCCGAGAGTGAGAAGGACAAGCCCAAGAAGAAGCGGTGGTGCGAGTATGAAGACGATGACGAGGACTTTTTGCCGGCCCACCCTGGCACCTTGCGGAGCTCGTCCACCTCAGACATCCCCCCGACCCCCCTCCCCCAGGCCGAGTCACGCCACCGTGACTCCGTCCCAGCACGCTCCACGTCGCAGCCCCTCTCGCCTCTCATCAAGAATGGGCCGCCCAACAAGAGCCTCGCGCCAAGCGTGCAGCGCCTGTTCGACAACTACCAACAGAACAGCCCCAACGCCAATGCCGCCAGCAGCACCACACCCAACCACCACCCCGCACCAGACGACACACCGCCCGCACCCACATCGACAGAGCAGGCCAAGCGCAAGCCGCCCCCACTCCCGGCCCGTTCCGGGTCGCCCGATGGCGCCCGGCGGCCCAGCTGGTCGCCATCTTTGCGCAACACCAAGAACGGCACGCAGGCCGACAGCAGCGTGAGCAAAGAGGGAGAGGAGAGTGGGGATAACGGAGGAGCGAAGCTCAACAGTTCGTTGCCGAATGGCGGGGTGGCGTCTCCCTCGACCGATGCGAGCCCTTCCGGTAGCTCAGAGGGGCTGGGTGGGGGCGGGAACGGTGGGACTGCTGGTGCGGCGCGTGAGAGGTGTCAGCCTGTGTCTGTGGCCACGAGCGCACCCGCCCCACACATGGTGACTAGTGAGGTAGAGATTTGAAGCCATGTACACCCGCAGACACACAGACGGGGAGAGAGACGGAGATTGCTTCCCTGCTCGAGAGATTGGTGGACACAAGGAGGGGGCGCGACGCAGAGAGGGGAGGGGCGGGTGGTAGTTGGTTGCGTTGCTTCTGATGTGTGTGTACTTGCTATATGAGAGCTGAGGTGCATCCTGCACATGGCTTACATGGATTGATTGTTGAGGGGATGGGTGGACGGGAGGGTGTTGTGTTCTGTTGTGTTGGTTGGGGCGGACGGGATTTGCCGATCGGATGGTTTTCAACGGTGGGCGATCATATGTGTACGTGTGCGCGTGTATTCCTCTATTGATTGAAGTTGTGTGGCGACAGATCGAACCGACTGCTAACGAACGAACGAGTGATCGATTGCCTGACTTACCGACTGATGGATGGATGGGTGGATGGACGTTTTTGTATTGATCACGATGTCACCATTCCAGCGCCGTTGGTACCTCCTCCCGCACCTCCCCCCTTCCCCCTCCCCTTCACACCCATGTGTGTGTGTGTGTGAGTATGTATGGCTGTCTGTCTGTCATATCTAGGACGTGCATGTGTGTATCTAACACCCACACACCGGGACACAGAGAGAGATGGCCGCCCCTCGACGGTCGACATAGTGGGCAGCTCGGCGAGTGACGTCCCTCAGAGGAAGACAGAGAGACTAGGGAGAGGGGACAAGACGGCGTGCGTGTGTGTGAATGTGAATGTGGGTGAGTGCGTGCGGTGCGTCTGGTGTGTGTGTATGTATCATAGACAAGAGACAGACAGACAGACACACACAGCACAGCCGTCCCTCTATACTCTTTTCTGGATGGATGTCATGTTCTTTTGGTCTAAGACATCACACCGGTCTGACACACCGACTCACAACACCAGACAACACAACACAACACCTCCCACCCACCCATGCAATGTGTGTGTAAGGAAGCCTGACTGACTGATGGTGGTACGGGTACGGTACATCGACCGACCGATCGCACGGGGCGCTCGCTTTATCGCTTGCCTAATGGGGGCCGGGCCAGTGTCAGGGAGTTCAGCTAGTGTTGATTAGACTCGGTATTACCCAGCCAGCGTCCCAGCCAGCCATGGTTAGGAGGTGGCAACCCCATCGTCGTCGAAACACACACACGGATCATCCACGTATTCGTCTGTCGTCTTCGGACGGGGATCGCGTTGCTACCCTCCCATGGCGGCTGACAGGGACGACAGGCAGACGCTAGTTGAAACACACCCAGTGGACAGACAGACAGACACTTGCTCTCTTACCTGTCTGTCTGACCTGATTGCCTTTTCCTGACTCACCGACCTGCTTAATCCACCAGAGAGAGAGGGAGAGAGCGAGAGAGAGGGGTGACGACACACACACACGAGATATGCGGGAAAGAGGGAGAGGCGGGAGGAGATGACTGATCAGATCGCCCTTTTATCGATCTCGGATGGGCTCACCCTGTCTGCCTGCCTGCCTGACGTGCACGCTCCCTCACTGACTCACTGACTGCTGTGCATTCCATCATCCAATCATTCACTCATTGCATTGTGTTATGCTCTTATCTGCTGCATGTGTCATGTGTGTGAGTTCGTGTGAACGGACGGGTGTTTGGCTGACGACGTGGTACCGATGTGCTGTGATAGTCTGACTGACTGACCGACGGACTGACTGATTGCCTGAGTGTCAATTCAACTACATGCTTCTCTCAAACAATCACAATCACGACAACCGCGCCCCGTTTCCAGTGAGCGATCCTCGCGATGGAAGCTGGGCTTCTTCGTCGCTTCTTCCCAACACGAAACCCTAAGCCCGAAACCCTACACCCTATCCCCCCGCTCTAGAGGCTGCCACAAGTGTAGAGTCCAGCCGTGGCACTGATACAAGGTAACATCTGCCTCAAGCGCACGACAAACAGCTTCACATGGCTTTCTACATGGATGGATGCATCTCTGTCTTGCAGCGAGGAACAAGATGCCGTCATCATGAAGGGGTGGGTGTCCCGCCTGAGTGACAGAATTGCATCAGATGCACGTGCAGACCAACGGATAGATCAGGAACAGCAACAGGAGAGCAGACCGAACGGCGTGCAGGGGCTGCTGGACTACCTGAAGAGCCAGGCTGCCGACAGCGACACACACAAGTGAGGACAACAGATGGATGGGAAGCGACAGGCACGTTTCCGTACACTCATGCTGCCCATCCCATCTGCTTTCGTCTGGTGTGTGTTGTGTTGATGGCACATGCAGGTATTGGACAGGCATTCTCGGCTGCGCAAATCGCCGATACAACGAGGTGAGGGAGGCAACGAACATGCGGAGTGAAACGTCCGTTGCGCCTCAGCTGAGAACATCGATCTGTGACATTCGCTATGCCATGTTCGGTTGGACCTGCATGCAGGATCTTGAGGCGGCAGTGATCCTAAGGCCGAAATCGTCGTCATCCAAGGCCGGTGGCTCCCCCCTGCTGCTCACTGACGAGGTTAAGTGGGGTGGGGGACCAACAGACACCACGGCACAAGCACGCAGGAAGGCGGTCTTCACCTTGCCTTGGCCGCCTGATTGTTTGCCTGCCTGCGTGCCTCTATGCAGCACGGCTTCGTGTACAAGATCTTCAACGCGGAGCTGACGTCGGAATGCGACTTTTACCAGCGCGTGAGGCGGGCGGCCGCGCTGCAGGGGGAGCGGGCATTGACCACAGGGCGTGCGGTGCATGGGCGGCTGTCCAAGGCGGTGCAGCTGACAAAGGACCAACTGCAGGAGGTGCGGACGCTGGCCTACCTGGAGCAGCAGCACCTCATCCCCTCATTCAGGGGCGTCACGCCCGTCGCACGGCTGGCGTCCGTCAACAGGGCCAGGCACCAGCATGACTTGCCGCCCACTCCGTCGGCCCCTTCGTCTGTCGGTGGTCGTGACGGTGTCCCTGTTGACAACACATGGACGCCGGTGCAGGGAGATGACAGGGCTCTTCCATCCATCAAAGTGAGTATGGAAGGAAAAGGGAAACGATTGATTACATGCGCCATCATTCCTTCATTCACGCTCTGTTCCCGACCTCTGTGTTCGTCGTCAGTTGGAGGACTTCACCTTTGGCTACGACCGTCCGGCAATAGCGGATCTGAAGCTCGGCAGCGGGTGGCTGGGGTGCCACCCGGGCGACCCGGCCTTCATGGCGCGTGTGGCGTGTGCGTCCAAGGACCTGGCTGAGAGGGAGGCGTTGGTGGCGCGGTGGCTGGCCATGAAGAAGCAGATGAAGCGTGAGCTGAGTCTAGAGGAGCTGCTGAGGGAGGCGGTGGGGGTGCCGCTGAGGCTGGGCCTTACGAGTGGCGGAGGGGAGCCGCTCTGCCGGGCGGACGCGTTTGCGCTCATCAAGAGCTGGAGACAGGAACAGGTGAGAGGGAGACAGACGGGGAGGAGATTCGTGTATGTAATACATGTGTGTGTCGGCTCGGCAGGTGTCTAAGAGCACCACTCAGTGGACGATGGGGCTGTCCGTAGGCGGTATGCTCTTCGCAGATGAACTGGTCGGTGCCCTACCCGTGGACATACACCGAACCCGCACGCCGCAACCCTCGTTATGTCCGTCACCATCCCACTTCCCTTCTCCCCTGTGTGTCTCACGTGTGAATCATGCAGGGCGGCATGCAGGTGAGCCGTAGTGAGGGCAAGGACTTGACGGACGGCGAGCTGGTCGACCTCTTGCTGCGCTTCCTGCGGGACAATGGAGACCTCGCCATAGCACTCCTTGACAAACTCGTCAAACTAAAGTAACTGATTGAGGGGGGGCAGCCAAGACCATGAAAAGGACGGTCACTTTGAGTGTTGCCGCGGTTGACATCTGTCTGTCTGTGTCTGCAGGGAATGGTTTGCGCACCAGTGGTGCTACAGATTCTATGCCACGTCCATCGTCATGGTGTATGACCAGCTGCAGCCGTCCCGCTGCGACCTCAGGTGGCTCGACTTCGCACACGCCATCCGCCTGGTATGTCTGGTATGCACCCAGTAATTAGTAAAGTGGCGGCGCTGCTCTTTAATAAGAATGTTTGGTGTTCGTTCGCTCGTGTCGGTGCGTGTGTGCAGACGTCTCGCGGCTCCCCCTTATCGCAGCAGTCGTCGTCCGCCCGCCTGTCCCACTCCCCCAGCCTCACCAGTACGCCCTCTGCCGCCGCTCTCTCCGTCACGGCCGCCTCGTCCACCGCGGCGCGGGACAGCCCCGTCAGCCCGCAATCGCCATCCATCATGGCGCCCTCCGACCACACTCACACTCACCCCCTGTCGCCCTCATCGGTCGACCAGCACGCCAGTATGCTGCGGGGCATGGACAACCTCATGGACGTCCTGCGGTCCGTGGCGTGGGGCCGCCAGCTGGTGCTTGCCGATCTGCAGCTGGTGCCGAAACCGGGGAGAGCAACTGAAGCTGCCCATGAGACCGAGGCGGCGGGCAGCCCACCGCCATGCTCGAGAAGCGATGAGGCGTGTCAGGGAGAGGAGGACTGCGGGTCGCCGCTGATGCTGCCGCAGATTGATGAGGCGATCGATGCCCTGGTGCAGATGGACTCCCCAGCCATAGCCATCAGCAGAAGAGGCGATGAGAGCCCTCTCCCACTCCCCCTCGCCAGCAACGAGCGTCTCAACGACCCCTCCCAGCCAGTGACCATCTCATCACTCCCACCGCCGGGCGCACTGCCGCCGCCCTCATCGTCGTCAGCAGAGGGTGAGATTGACAGCGAGGGCGGTCCGGTCGCACCCGCACCGAGCATTGTTGACCGGTATCGGGTTACCTACGCACACGTGCAGAGGGGGCTGCCGGCTGCCTACACCTTTCCCGCACCGGTGTCTCGCACCGCTGGCAGCGCACAGCAGAGGAAGGGCAGCACTGGCAATGGCGCAGGGCCGCCGTTCAGGCGGAAGAAAGTACTAGTGGGCATGGCGAGGGAGGATGCAGGTGGGTGATATCACACACATAACATTCACACACAGTGAACAGGCAGACACATCGCTACACTGCGTGTGCTCATGAATGTCCGAATGCGTGCAGGTGCAGGTGGTGGTTCGTCGCATAGTGACGATGATGATTCCTCCTCTGTCAGCTCGCCCATGTGCCTCTCAGTCACTCAAGGTGCGGTGCGTACCAACCAGCCCACCAACCGAGATGGCTTCCGTCTGAGCGATACTGTCCGTGTGTGTTGAGCAGGTCGTCATGGGTTTTCCTTGCACGTGGGAGCGCCAGATAGATGAGATGAGATGTAGCGGGGAGGGCGGGAAGGGTTTGTCTTTGGCTAGTAGGATGATGGCAGGCATTTGGACTGAGTGATTCGTGACTGCCTGCCGTGTTGTTTTTCTGTCGACGGGGTGAGGCGAGACGACACTGGTTGGTGATGTATTGACACGTCCATCATGTTATATCATGTCGATTCACACACATGGTGACTTAATAGCTAGCTGTTGTCCGTCCGCACCAAAGCAGCACCACGTGCTGACTTTCTTTTCTGCACCCGCCGCCATCGAGTCTGCTCCCTCGGTGCACATATGCACCGGAAGTAAGCTCGGCCTCGATGGCAGCAGACAAAGAATCAAGCCAGTCGCACAGCCACCACCATTAGAATATCTTCGCCCCGCTCACGCCATTTTTTCTTGTCTGACGGTACATCCTGTCTGTGTTTCCCCCTCTCCTGCCCCTGCTGCGCTGTCGCCACTGCCATAAGCGTCAAGGTAAAACTCGATGACGCGGCCACACAGCTCTGAGAAGGTGCGAACACACACACACAACACACAACCCAATACATCGACCAAAGGATGCATCTGGATTGATGGACACATCATACCTACCTCTCAGTGTGGCGATGGGCTCACTTATCTCCTCCTCTCTCCTTTGCCCCACCGCATCCACGGCCATCTCATCAGCTCCCGCTGCAGCGGCCGGTGCGTCCCCCTCGCCCCGGTCCTGGCCCTCTCCCACCTTCCTGCCCTCGACCCTCCGGCGCTTGGGGCTTGATCCCGCCCCCTCAGTGCCACCCATGGCTCGCGCGCTCGGACCCTGTTTGCCCTCCTGCGCAATCGAGGTCCTGCGGGTCACGTCAACGCCATTCTGCGCAAGCAGCCTGCAGCACGTGGCAAGGCAACTTATAAGAGATGGACAAGGCGACCCATGCTGGTCGGTCTTGTTCAGTCAGCACCTGATTGCCTCCCAGATGTGTTGGTCATCGATAGCCAGCCCCTCGCACGGCCGGTCCTCCGAGCGGGTGGCCAGCACCCGGCCAAACTCCTCTGTCTGGGCGAGCCTCTTGGTGACGATGACGGCTGCCAGGCAGACCAGGTCTGGGGGGTAGTGCACGAACAGAGATGAGCAGAATAGGTCGTTGATGAGGGTCCAGGCTAGAGAGGGGATGAGGGAGTGGCTGCCAGTGGTCGACAGCCCGCTGGAGCCGTCGATGCGGCCTGCACCCATCCATCCATCCATCCATGACCCCCCACATGCCGTCTGGCGGTGTGCATTCATTGTGTGGGCACCCACCCTCCCAGCCGCCCACCGAGCATGACGGCGAGGTTGAGCAGCAGTGTGTATGCCTTGGTCATGTCGAGGTCAAAGGAGAGTGTGCGGATGACCATCTGCTCCAAATGCAGCGCCTCGTCACGGCTCTTCCAGTACTGGACGACAGACGGACAGACAGACAGACAGACGGACACACACACACACACACACACACACATGGCAAATGCACACCTAGATGGGCGACTGAGTGAGTACTGCTTGGTACCTCCTCCATCTGGAGGGTCTTTCCCTTGCCGTCCGTGCGAAAGTGCTCACAGCAGTTGATGATTTCTGACATATCACAATCACACACACCGCAGGGAACCAACACAGCGTGAGTGCATTTCTCTCGCAACTGTTGGCTTCGTGCTTGTGTGTGTGAAGCCTACCTACCTCTGAGTTTCTTGCCGTCCTCACACACCTTGGCCGCCAGGAAGAGGCACGGAGGCAAGATGCGCTGCACACACCACACGGACCCACCACCACGGGCAGCATACAGTCAGCCACGTTGCTGCCTGCCTGTTGGTTGTGCTGTGCCCACCCATGCATCGAGCTCTGACGGCTCTCTCAGCGTGTAGAAGCGCTGGAAGAACAGCAACGCCGTCGATATGCTCGGCTGCTCCCTGACGCGCACACACACACACACACAACCAACACACGCACACAACCAACACACGCAGAGATCTGTGCACAGAGCGCTCCAGCGGCGGGTGAGGTGAAGCAGCTCACTCACATCCTGAGGTCCATGGCAATCTGCTGTATCCTGAGGCCGAATTCCCGCCTGAACGCCGCCAGGCGCCTCTCACGGGCATCGTCCCATCGGTGAAGGCGATGCGAATGGAACTCCATGTTTGGCAAGCTGGAAGAAACCTGCGAAGGTCACTGTAAGTAGCTATGAAATAAGAAACAGTGGGAGCGGGAGCGTTGTCAATGCGACGGCGCAGGGCTGACCAGAGGTGGACCTGGTCCCGAGAGGGCGACAAGGCCACTTCACACACTCTATATAGGCTACCTGCCACCATCATGAGAGGGACCCTTCGAAGCGGCCCTGCTGCCGCCCCCTACCTCCTCATCGTTTGTATCCTCTCAGCCGCAAGCGAACCAAGGAGTAGTGCTGGCCGCCCACTACGAGAAGACTTCGCCTTCGCCGACGTCGTTGCAAGCGGCGCGGGGCCACCGCCCGCTCATATGATGAGCGCCGCTGCAGCTGCCCCGGCACCCTCTCCCCTGTCGCCCTTTGAGGGCAACAAGGTGCGTGCGTTCGCCTCCAAGAAGAACCAAGCGGCCCACAACCTGATGGACGCCATCAAGCAAGTGCAGAACGTGACCGAGTTCTATCGCAGGTGGGGCGAGGACCGGCCCATCACGTCACTGGGGGCGTGCTACACCAGCGACAGGCACCTCAGCGGCTTCGAGATCGCCGCCACGACGGCCTACTCGCCACAGGACTGCCAGGCCAAGTGCCAGATGGACGGCCACTGCTGGGGGTGGACCTACTTTGGTGACTCCAATCAATGCAGCCTCGCAGAGGGCGGGCCAGAGAAGGGCCACACCATGGCCGAATCGGGCAAGAAGATCGTCAGCGGGCCCAAGAGCTGCGGGTGGCCGCGGCCGAACAATCCTGTGAGGGAGGACGAGAAGATCGAGGAGGCGCTGGACGAGCTGATACCGACGTTGAGCATGGACAGCAAGATCGGCCAGCTGATCTTTCTCGTGCAGTTCCGCACCACCGTCGAAAACCTCAAGCTGACGGCGGCCGGGGCGGCGCAGATCCCGCGGCCCCCCCACGGGATGAGCCTGAAGGACACGCTGAAGCTGTTCGACCAGCTGTATGACGAGTCGCTCAAGGTTGGGGACGGCATCCCGGTGATGTTTGTGACGAACGCCGTGCACGGCAACACGATGATCAAGGGCGCCACAATCTTCCCACACAACATCGCCATCGGGGCCGCCAACGACCCCGACCTGGCCAGGAGGGTCGGCGAAGCCACCGCACTTGAGATGGCAGTCGCAGGTCAGTCAGTAACACACAAAACTAAAACGGCCAGTGATATCTGTGGCGTGGGTGTGTCTGCTCTGCTTCCCGCCCGGCAGGGTTTGACTGGACGGAGGCCCCCACCGTGGCCGTTGCGCGAGACATCCGGTGGGGCCGCACGTACGAGAGCTACTCGTCGAGCCCGCAGCGTGTCAAGAACATGGCCTTCGCCATGGTGAGGGGGCTGCAGGGCGACCCCAACAACGACAAGGACTTCCTCAGCGACGCCCACGTCATCGCCACCTGCAAACACTGGATCGGCGACGGGGCGTCAAGCAAGGGCATCACATACGGCGACGTGCACCTGGAGGAGGAGGAGTTCCGGGACGTCCACGGGCTGCCCTTCGTGGCCTGCATCGAGGCGGGGGTGCAGTCGATCATGCCCTCCTACACGGCTTACCACGGGACCTCCATGCACGGCAACTGGTTCCTCAACAGTGCGGTCCTCAAGGGCATGATGGACTTTCAGGGCTTCGTCATCAGCGACTTCGACGGCTGGGTGTGGAACGCCGTCCCGGGGTGCAGTGTCGACAACTGCCCCGCCACTATCGGCACCGGCATCGACCAGCTACTCGTTGGGTCAGTCAGTCAGTCAGTCCCCCAGGCACACACAAGCTAAGCTGCAGACGCCCGCATCGCATGTGTGTGTGCTGTGTGTGGTTGACATGGCATGATAGGTATGGTGACTACCAGAAGCTCATGTCCGGCATCAAGAAGGCCGTCGAGACCGGGGAGCTGCCCGAGGAGCGGTTCAACAACGCCGTACGGCGGGTCCTCAGAACCAAAATGCGGCTGGGTCTCATGGGCCCCAGGGCACGCACCACTCGGCAGCGGCCCTCCGAACGCAAATACGCCGGCCGGACAGAGTACTTCAATAACAAGAAGCACCGGCAGGTCGCACGGGAGGCCGTGCGCAAGTCGGTGGTGCTGCTCAAGAACCATAGGAAGGCGCTGCCGATCAAGCCCCAGATGAGGGTGCTGGTGGCTGGCCCCGCCGCCAACGACAAGACCAAGATGATGGGCGGCTGGACCTTGGATCTGTTCGGCCAGAACATCGAGCAGGCCGACTTCCCCCAGGCCACCACTGTCTTCGAGGCGCTCAGGAGGGAGATGAAGAAGCGGGGTGGGTCGGCGACCTTCTCTGAGACGGGGTGGGTGAAGGACTACAGCGAGTACGACCTGGCCGTGTTTGTGACGGGCGAGGAGCCGTACGCAGAGATCAAGGGCGACCTCGCTGACCCCGAGAAATCACGCAGCCTCGACCACGGCACCAGGTGACTGACGAGCGAGACACGAACGAAGCCATTCTCGCTTGTCTGTCTCCATTCATTCATTTGTGTGTGTGTGTGGACGGACATTACATATGTATGGCTCCTTCAGGCATGTGGCTGACTTCGAGACGTTGGACATGCTGCAGAAGTCGAAGCTGCCGACGGTGACGATTCTGCTGTCTGGCCGGCCTCTGTATGTCAACAAGTACATCAACAAGTCGCATGCCTTCATGGCCGCCTGGCTGCCGGGCAGTGAGGGCGGCAACGGCATCGCCGACCTGCTTCTGGGCGACTTTGACTTCAGCGGCACACTCTCCTTCCCCTGGCCACGACACCCCTGCCAGACGCTCAGCCAGCCATGGGCACTGCCAGACGGCCAGACCCACCTTTTCCCCCTCGGCTATGGGCTGGACTACAAACACAATAAAACCATCCCACAGCTGCCGGAGAACTGGGTCTTCGAGTGCTGACCGACCGGCCCGACCTGACGGCATAGTGGTAGGCAGGCCTAGTGGTCGTGAGCGTGCGATTTGCATTGTGTGGTGTGTATGAACGGGCGGGCGGGCGGGCGGGCGGGTAATTGGGGCGCATTGCATACACCGGGTGTAATGATCAGTGTGTGCAGGTTGGGCGTGGCGTGTGCACATCACATGTGGTGTTGAAGTGTCTCGATGTGTACGGATCTGTACACAAAAAGACGGATGGACACGGCTGGATGGAGGGAGGGAAGAGTACAGAGACAGATATGCAATGCACACAGCTAGTCAGTCCCTGCTGCCTGTCTGTCTGCCTGCCTGCGTGCCCCTATTTGACTAGTGTGTGAGTGAATGCGTGGGTGTCTGTCTGTCTGTCTGTCACATCATGTCCTCTCCTCTCCTCTCCTCTCCTTGTCTGAGATGCCTCGGTGACCCGTTTGGTCCTTTGTCTGGGTGGTTGGTTGGGTAGCTGTCTGTAATTCGTGCAGCCCAGCCCTTTCTCTCCCCAACATATTCCTTCTCTCTCTCTCCTGCCACCTCTTCCCTTCCTCCCTGCCCGCCTGCTCGTGTGCCCGCCTGCCTCCCTGCCCGTGTGAGTGTTTTGCTGCGTACACACAGTGCCGTCCGTTCAGCTACAGGACTACAATTGGTTGGTGAGTGAGGGGGGCTGACGGACCGAACGATTGTGAGTTGATGCTCATCTCAATCCATACATCCAGTCGGTCACACAAAAACACACACACACGCATCCGTGTCAGTCAATCAGTCCCCCCCAACCCCGCAGAACGAGGCGGTGCAAACGAGCTGAGGAACATCCCATCCACCGGCTTTAGCCACAGGCGTCTCGCCTCTGTGTCGATGGACGTCACAATGTCTGGCACCACATAAGGGATGAAGGCCCTGAGAGAGAGGACAGACACACACACACACCATACATATGCGGCCTGGCCTGGCGTAGCCTGCCTCTGATATGTATGGTGTGGCTGGCCGCCCCGTGCTCACTGTACCTGACTACAGGCGACCGGGAGATCTCCTGTGCATCATCGTCATCGGCAGGCCTGTACTCGCACAGCCGCTCGTGGTGCACCGCCTCTTGCTCTGTGGCGAACTCCATTGCACAGAACTCACACTCCCACACCTGCACACCTCCTCCCACACTGCACACGCAGACGCACACGCAGAAAGGGATAGATAGAGGGATGGGGGGACGATTGATCACACCACGCACGGCACTAATGAACCCACCTGCTCGGGTTTGTGAAGCCATCGATTTCGGTCTCTTGGCTGAGCTGTTGGTAGAAATGGTCAATGACGGTTCTGTCGAAGGATGGATCCATCTCTATCAGCAGCATGTCCTCACGAATGGCCCCCAGCTCCTGCATCCACTCACATCACATGTCAAACCGCTCGCTGCCGTGTCCTCCCCACCTTCCCTGCCTCCCTGCCTCCCTCGTGTCTCACCTTGCTTTGTGTGGCTTCCGATCCAGGAACATAGTCGACAATCCGACCCACCTAGAGAAGAAAGAGGGCGCATACCGCACCGCGGCCATCCATGCCATGCCCTCCCCTCTGCGCTGCTTTGTCTACACCTCTCTCTTCCCCACCAGGCATTCCGGCATGGCCGCCGCCAGCGCTTCGTCCTCCTCAGCGAACGCACCCCAGTCGATGTACACCTGCATGTCCAGCAGCTCGGGCACATAGACCTCCGATGCCTCGTCGAGTGAGGACGGCCGGTCGCGCTGAGAGGCGTAGAGAGTGAGGCCCGTCAGCCGAATGGCGTCCTCTCTGAGTGAGAGGCAAACAGGCAGTTGACACGTGGAGCAAGGTGAGTACGTGTTGCTGATGGTGCGGTGACCTGGTGTCAGCCCCAGCGATTTGCACGACAAACACATCGTCTTGGCCCGCCTTGCGGCACTGGGTAAGGGCTACCGGCTGTGGCGCCGCCGATGTGCGGGGCTTCAGATACTGCACACCTAGGAATCAACCCACATAGACGTGTGTGTCTATGGATGTCCACGCACTCCGCTACAATGCACCTGCTCAGCTCACCGGGCCGTCCGAAGCGGTCCTGTGGGAAGTCAGTTGAGCTCCTGACCTTGACTTGCCCGACCACGCCATGGGCGCCCATGATCGACCCGATCTCCACAAAGTCATCCATGGACCCCTCATACACCACACACACCCTGGCACCAGCACCCTCACTGTCGCCGTATCGCTCTCGGAATGAGGCGTCGCTCTCGAGAGTCCTCTGCAGGCCGTCCCGCAGCCTGGCGAACAGCGGCCGGCTGCTGCGCCGCTGCTGCTGCTCCTCCTCCTCCTCCTCCTCCTCCTAATGAATGAATGCAGCCAGCCATTCGTGCCGACGGCACAAGAGTTGACCGACAGGGATCCATCTGGCCGCTAGCTTCGTGCTCGCTCTTGCCTGTGTTTGTTGCCTCAGTGGTTTGGTCTTCTCCACGAACAGATCCCACGGGTCGGGCGGTGCCTGGCCGTCCTCATAGCGCCACGCGTCCTTGGTGCGCCTTCCGCGACGACCCACCTGATGGAACGAGGCAGGCAGGATTCCGTCAGAGCATTCTGCAGGGCGATGGGTGCGTACCTTTGAGAATCTGCTGGGCTGGTAGTATTTGCTGGGCGAGGTGTCCCGCACGGCATCGCTGGAAGCAGGCTGCGATGAACGAATCAGCCGGCTGATTGACTGGCGTCGACGGACAGGCGCCAGTGGCACAAACGCGGCCGCTTCAGACGGAGGGCACTGCATCACCATCAGGTACGCCATGCAACACACCCAGTGCAAGATCTGATGGCTGCAGGTCTGTGCTCGTCTGCGCGTGTGTGTGTTGGTCTCACTCACGTATGTGTGAACCGACGCCGTCAGGGATTGTGAGAGCAACAAGGCGACCTTCATGAGCACTCCCTTCCAACCTCACACATGCTCCACCGTCAGGCCGCCTAGGGTGCTCCCTGAAACCGCTGCTGCGCAGAGGAGCGCATTGACGCTGCAGATCTTTGTCGCGTTTGGTCTCTGATATATGGCATTTCGCGGAAGTCCAATCGCGCCCATCTTCTCTGCACGGAGATTCGCTTATCTCTCACGCGTCGTCGGAGTTTCCACAGCGCATGACAGCGAGTGCCGTCAACAAAGTGCCACCACAGACGGTCTCCACAATGTCAGCGGTCAGGGATAGGTAAGGATTCATTCAATTGCGACCAAAAGCCACCATTCCATTCATCCGTCCTCCCGCCTGTGTGTGCGCTTGTGCCCAGGCCGTGGTTCGTCCAGGCGCTGGAGCGGCTTCAGAGTTGGATGGAATCAGTTCAGTTCGACGAGCTTCTCAGCCACTCGGGCGACGTCGGTGGTGCCGCACCAATCCTCTCTGGAGCGGACACCGAGCTGGAGGCGCTTGTTCGGCTGAGTGCCTCGCTGCTGGAAGGGCTGAGGGACTCGGCCATCGGCCTGCCGCCCCATCGTGTGGAGAGGAAGCAGGAGCAGTTGACGTGGCTGCTGGCTAGCTTCCTCCTGCTGGATCTGCCTCTGCAGAGGCGCTTGCGTGTGGTTGATTTCTGCTCTGGTGCGGGGCATTTCGGCTTTGTCGTCGGCCGGTTGTTTCCTCACTTTTCTGTGTGGCTGGTGGAGATCAACGCTGTGGCCTGTCGGATGGCTCTGGTAGGCGCGCTTGGACGCTCTTGCGAATCAATCGTTGGTCTGTGTGTGTGTGTGTGTCACCTTCCCTGTTCGTTCAGGAGACGAAGGAAAAGTACGGCCTCACCAATGTCCACGTGATCAACGCGTCCCTGACGGACCTCATCCCGGGCGGTTCTGGGGGGACGTGTCCACTGCCTGACTTCGACGTCGGTCTCGGCCTTCACGCGTGTGGGTACGTCGACAGCACACTTGCAGTGTGTGAGTACGTCTGTGCGTACGTCGGCCACCTGAGTGGGTGGGGTGTTTCGTGCAGGTGGCTGACCGATTTGATTCATGTGCTGTGTTTGCAGCGACGGGCCGCTTTCGTCCTCTGCTCGTGCTGTGTTGGCAAGGTGAGGCACCACCCCTCACCCACCAGCCGCGGGCGCTGGCCTGCCCATGGCGACTGCAGCTATAGTGATGATGATGAGGCGACACCTGTCGTGTCCACGGAAGTGCTCGCGTACCCACGGAGCAGTCTGCTGAGGCAGGTAGGGGACGTATGGGTGTGTCTGTTCTCGCTTGCTGCTCTTCCAATGGCATGTGCTCTGTGTTGTGTTGTCCCAGCAATTGTCCGCTGAGGCCTACTTTGAATTGGCGGCAGCTGCAGGTAACTGCTTGGAGGTGATGCGCGCGTTGGTGTGTGTCCTGCCATGAGTGTGTGCGTGGCTGGTGGTGCAGATATGAATGAGGCTCCTGATCGACATGGAGCCGCAGACAAGGCCACCTTGTCTCCGGCCGAATGCCATTGGCCTCCGCCCCTTGCCTCCTGGTTGCTGCGCCTCAACCGGGCCTTCCGGCATCGGTGGGATTCAGTCGCGCGCCCAGCTGCTCTGACACAGTCAAAGGAGACATCTGAGCTGGGGTGCTGCCGAGGTGCGCACTGCTATCCGTGTGCAGGCGATGTACGGGCAGCCTGGCTATTCAGAATCTCTGTTCTCTGTGTTTACGATGCAGGCTTGTGTGCGGATGGCGAGAGCGACGAAGAGACGTCTCTGCCTTTGGCAAGACGGACGTGCAAGCTGCTGGTGGAGATGGACAGACTGATGGCTGCTCACGAACACGGCTACACAGTGAGGGTGATCCACATGCCGCTGAGGTACGATTGATTACCTGCCTTGCGTGTGTGTATGCGACGCACGATTGCCACCCATCCACCCATCCATCGATGGGATGATTTGTGTCTGCTGGATGGTTGTCTGCAGAGCTTCACCGAAGAACGACATCATCATCGGTCGTCCCCCGAGTGGCCACGATCGCCTGGCGCATCGCGTCTCGCTGACAGCGCTTGTTGCCGACCAAATTTAAAGGCGACCAAATGAAGGTGTACAGTGACCAACTTGGTTCACGCACTGTACACTCAGCTCCCTCCTGCAGGTGCAACCAGATGCCGACCGACGCACGCCTGTACAGTTCCTCTGCTTGTCTGCCTGCCTGCCTGCCCGCCTGTCGGTGTGTGTGGGGGGCAGTGTTTGCTTGCCTTGTGCGGAGTAGTTCTTTGTCCATCGACCGATGGATGTAGTGTATGTCCGACTGATGTTGAATGGTGACCTTCGTGGCTTTCACCCACGTGCACGCAGTCTGCATGCAGTCAGCCCCACGCACCCAACCCATTTCTCCTGACTGCATCCACCCCAACCAACACAGGCATTGCAACGTTGTCTGAGTGACACAGCACATGCACCGCGTCCATCAACCCTCCCTCATGTGGACGGACGGACGGACGGACGGACGCAGACAGAAAATCTCACTCTCCCTACACCACTACTCGACTCTCATATGGTCCTCAGCTACATCATGCTCATGATCATCATCAGCCGCTGACAGACACTTTGTAGTGCTTGTCAGAAGCTCATGTGGACGAGCACCACGCAGCTGAAGACCATAGAGTCGAAACGAATCATACATTGCCCCCCTCGGAAAGCAACATAAATGCGACGAGACGCGACATACACACATACGGAAAGCAACATGTATGCGTGTATGCGTGTATGTGTGTATGTGTGTGCCACACGGATTGCCCACGGCCTACCGACGCATAAAGGCGCCTGAGGCAGGCCACAAAACCCACACGCCTGGCTGGCTGGCTTCAGCCGGCCTCCCTCACAGGCATGGCATGCGATGTAGCGGGAGGGCGTCCCTTTCGCTGAGGTCCCGTCCCGTCCCGCCCTCCCGCCCGCCCTCACTAGAAAGAATTCGGATGCACCGAGACCGCTGGCCGATCGACAGACAGGCATACAGGCAGGCAGGCAGGCATGAAACCATGCGCATGAAGCGGTTTACAAAATACCCGAAGACGTGCACGTAGGCATGCACTCGTGTGTGTCTCAGTGACCCCCCCTTCCCCCTCTCCAGGCACCAGCCCTCCTACTGCTGGCCGTGCTATAGTGTCTGTCGCCCACAAGCCGCCTCTCGATGGCTGCAGCGGAGGCTCTCCGTTGCCCCAAACCACCGCTGGCAGCTGCCATGGCGGCTTGCAGCCTCCTGGTGCTGCCACCGTTGTTCTCGAGGACCACCGGCTCCCCTGAGTGATACATAGACAGACAGACAGACAGACAGCCAGACATCCAGCGAAATGCATGCGCCCCCCCCCCCCCCCC